GTGCGTGCCAAGCGTCGAGCGTAGCTGTTCGACTTTGACTCATATGCGGCAGACATTTACGATATGGCTACATGTAGCCATATCAATCGTACGATCTTGCAGTCGAGCACAAGAACTACATGGGTCTCTCTACCTTCGAGAACCCGATGAAAAACAGCTCGATTAACTACTTAACTAGCTGATCTAACGTCTCTCTCGACACAGCTAGATAATATTCCTTCCTACCTACTTTTTGTCAAGTTCTTAGTGCGTTTTATTCGTCGTAAATGATGAACGTGGAGTTGCCGATATCTCGACGACGCGACGGCTGGCCGAGTTCGCCGCGTCGGATCTCGTCCGGGTTGTTCCTGGAGTGCAGAATGCAACTCAAACAGACCTTAACGCGTGTGGACTCGGACTCCACAAGCACCGGCATCTTGCGACAACAGCGGCCGCAACTCGATTCGCCGCAGAGACGGCAACTGTGACGCTTGCGAAGGAAGGAGAAGGCGTGTTGACACACGTTGCAGTTCCGTTGCTGCTTGTCCTTATCTCCACTCGTGAAAGAGCGATGCTTGCGGTTCATCTCCCGGTTATTTTCCGGTAGGAGATGGTTCCCAATGCTGGTCTTTTCAGCGTGAGCACGCAGGTTGGCAAGACGCACTCCTGCCTGCTCTAACCAGTGGGATCTCTTACTGGAGGAACATTTGCTCTTGGGATCGAGATGCGACGCGAACGTCACTTCCACGACGCCAGAGGTATCTGTCTCCACCACCGTGTACACTTCACAGCGGATAGAAGCACGTACGTACTTGGGCGATGGCCGCAGCTCCGGTACCCGAATGGATTCGATGATTCTGTACCCAATAAGTTTCCCCTCGTTCGTGGTCCCCACATCTGTGTAGTCCAAATAGACGAGATCCAACGGAGTCGTCCCAAATGGGTTCTTTATGGCCTGATACTTGAGTCCGCAGTGGAAATAGCGCGAGTTCGTGGGCTGTGCGCACAGTGCCAATACTTTCGCCTCAATGACCTGATCTGCGCCCAAAATAGTCTTCTGTGCATCGGCGAATGCTTCTGTGCTCTCTCCTGCGGCCAAAATGGACATGACGTTCTTCACCGACGCGTTCACGTGCGTCACGCCGCGCACTTCGCAACGAGATCGCTTGGACTTATACAACTGCACGCCGTTCTTCACCTTCGCCGCTTCCCAATTGGACCCTACAGTTTCGCTCTCTTCCGCGGGTGAAATGTTGCTCGGTTCTCTAATGTCGTCCGTCGGGTCGTCGGATGCAAAGGCCAGTGCGATGCTGTGCCTCCGCTTGATGTAGCTGAAGCATCCAGCCTTCTGTGCGGCGCTGAGCAGTGTCGTGTCCTCCGAAACCTGTCGATTGCCCTCATACGACACGGCAGACCTGCATCGTACTCTCTCTGTGGAGCGAGGTCCATTGGACAAGTAGCTGTCCTCCACGACGTCTCCGTCCTCGTCGTCGTCGCTGTCTTCGAGCACGCGCTCGCCCTTCTGATTGCCCAATATACCGCCGAAAAGAGGCGTGGCGCCGAGCCGCTGTTGCAGACCTGTCCACAGTTCCTGTCGTTTGCCCACGTGCTTGTGGATATCGGAGCTCCTCGCCACACTGTCGCTGGTTCTGTACGACGTTCGCTGCATCACCTCGCTGGCCATTGTGAAGGAGGAAGATGCTGAAATGCCCCAAAGGTCTTTAGGTGCGCAGTGTCCGTTGGCGTTGTCACTAGTCGCAACGGTTCCGACTCCTTGCTGACTCTAAAATCAACTAGAAGAAGAGAGGAAGCTGCGTTCGACCTTCTTGCGAGCGTTTTGAGTTATGAAGACCTCGCAAGGCTTTATGCGGTCGATTGATCGCAAATGTCGCGCAGGACTACATGTGGCCCGGGTGGTCTGGCTGGCTTGAACTCAGCTCAAGGATCGGGGCCGGGCACGCTAGCACCATCTGCGATGAACGGCGAAGGCTTCGAGGTTTTCGGCTTGCGTTCCTCGGTACCGGGCTCTGCTACGCTTCAGGACAGCTGGTGGTCGTTCTTGGCTCGGAGCTTGTTCTTTCGCGGCGCTACGACGACCAAAGAACCGCCAGCTCAACTCGCTGTTACGGTGTTCTACATACTAGTATTACCCACGCCGAAATTCCGGCCAAAAGGATGCACCACCATTGTGTACGTACAAGACTTTGAGACTGCTTTGACGTCAAAGGCGGAACATTAAACTATTGAAACGATGACTAGGAGAGCTTTGCGCATTTGCATCTTGCTTGACTCATGGCGGAATATTTGGATGGAACGTGCTGCAGTGAGATGCACGGAGTTACAATTTGGTGAGTCCTCGCGCCTGACCCTCGCTCGACCGTAGAATCCATTCGGCTAATGCGTCCAAGCCTTGCAAAGCGATGTTCGCTGATTGCCATACAATATGGTATTCCTGGTTAGAATCCTGAAGCTATGTGGTCGATTGTGGCTTTTGTCCAAGTATTTTTTTCAGGCAAAGCCATTCCATGTTCCTGTTTGTGCTCATGAGCTGGGGCAGGCATGTCGCGTTGATTATTGGCGCGATAGTCGTGCTTTGCACTTCCAGTGCCGCACCGAAGCGGGCTAATAGAGCACCACCAAAGCAGGTACAATACAGTACAAACCATTATTCACCAGCAATCTACACTTTCCTTTGGTAAAAGCAAATACACGGCCAACTCGGTCCATGCGGCGGCAACCCACGCGTTTATTGCGACAAGTTACGTGGACTTAACAATGGCATGATCTCGTCATCCGTCGTTTGCTTGACATCAAGGCGAACGGTGAGACCGGGAGCATGGCCTCTGCAGACTCGTCCCTGCCACAACTCGAACGCACTTCGATTTCCTACCTTCGTCGACGAGGCTCGCAGTACTAGCAACGTTGCAGTAAATGCTACATCAAACATACCTCTCATGAATTCTAGGCATCATGCCAGCATTTTCATAGAATTCAAATAACTACAGTGGTGATCTAACCTCCCACTCACTTTGCCGCTGTTGCCGAGGAAATAAATCTTTCAACCTGAGCAACACAAGCCGCAGACTAAGTGGATGGCGTTCGTGATCCCTCCAAGCCATCTCCAACTCTTCCATTTCCAAGGGTTCAGCAGTGGAGTCGAAGTTGTGGCTGGTAGCAAGCTACGAAGGGCTCCGTGAGTAGGCAGCAAGCGTGCGACTGACCGATATGAGCGTGGATTTTCATCGTTATCAATAAATTTCAACAACGTTACACGCCATCACTGACGACAACATGGCGCCACTTACTCGTCGTCCTCGTCGTCGTCCTCTCCCTCCTCCTCGAAGGTGTCGAGAGGCACGGAGAACAGACGCATAATGGGCTTGTTCGGGTCCTTCATGATCACGTACTTGCCCTCAGGCTGCTCCAGCAGCAGCTCCGACAGCATCTTGATGATGCCCCACGTGTTGTTCTGGTTGAGCGCGATCTGCGTCGCGAACGTGCTCGGGATGTACGACTGCATACCCAACACCACGTGCGAGTACGGGTCCTTGAAACTCGAGCGAGACACGTAGCCTAGCTTCATCTCGTCCACGCCGCTCAGCAGCGCCTGGGCTGTCCATTTAGCCAGCTTGCACGAGTTGTTCTTGAGCTCATTAGCCAGGATCGCACCACGCTGTAAGGAATATAGCAGAAAGTTAGTAAGTAAGGTTTATCACTAATTTTTAGATAACATACACATACAGCAAAGTGGTGGATGGGTCTCTCCTAATATGAAGCTTTCCTCACCAAGAGCATAGGAATAGCGTATATAAAAGTTGTGGGCATTCATCGAGATCCCACACCACCATACACAAAAGTTAGCAGCTAGTACTCTCATCCTTTTCAGTTTTCCTCACCAATAGTGTAGGATTAGCGATTCTGAAAAATATTGTCAATCATCGAGTTCCAGCCACTTCAATATGCACAGGTAGTTTACATGTAGCAGACTTTCATACCATGCTTTTTCCTCACCAATAGTGTAGGAATAGCGTATATACAATGTGAACATTCATCAAGTCCCGCACACATCGCCACCCACATACATACAAATATACACCATGCATACACATTTCGACAAAAACGTCGGAGACGCACCTGAGAGTCGATTTTCTTGCGCCACTCGATAGATCCAGGGAACTTGGGGTCGTACTCGTTAAGTGCGAATGTGGACACGTACTGCTGCTTGCCCTTCTTGAGGGCAACGCCCTGCACCTCGCAACGCGCCACCAGATTGAGTCCTCCTCCAAGATCAAACTTTCGGTAACGGTAGGCGCCGCTAGCAGGCTTGGCATCTTCACTGGCGAATGGGTTGGGTTCATCGAATTTCTTGTAGAACGCTCCGTTAGCAGTCTTAAGCACCTGCTGCGACAGATTCTGGTTGATCATAGTCGCCTCAAGACTGAGACGGTCCGGGTGGTTCATGTGTTCCGGGTCCTCATGATTAGGCGGATCCGAGGCGTTCTCATTGACTGTAAGCAGGTCGAAGTTGGACTCGTCGCGCTTGTCGAAGAACACCATGTTGTTGACGCGCTGGGCCACAATGTCCCAAGGGAAGACCGAGCGTGTGCAGGCCATAAGGTGCGCCAAGATGGCGTCGGTAGCGAACACCGTGGCTTCTCCCTGTTGAGCGAGGTCCTCGATAATAGGGTCATCGGTCGTAGTGACATAGTAGAAGTCACGGTCGTCGTAGCGGTGCACGCGCGTGTTGGAGCGACTGGTGATGCGGTCGAAGGAGGCGTCGAACTCACGCAGCTCGCCGCACCACTTCAGGTCCTCACTCTTAGGAATATTGGCTTGCAGCTTAGTGAGCTGCTGCATCTCGAACTGGTCCACGAGGTTCCAGCTCGCCTGCACCATGACGGACGCCACGCGGTCAACGTGCACCTCATCGCGACGACGGAAGGTCAGGGCGCGACGTGCGTTGCTGAGTCGGTCCCAACGCTTGTTTTGCTTCTGCATACCCTTCATACGTAGCTGCGCAGACGACGTAGTGGGGCCGTTCGGGTCCGGTTTGTCGCCGTACGATCCGCGTCCACCACGTCCGCCGCGTCCACCGCGTCCACCGAAGCGCTGCTGGTTCCACGTGGGGCGCAGACGGTCCTCCGTCTTGGGACGCGTGCCCTTCGACGTGTCCACCAGTTGGAACGTGGCGTCCTCCTTCGAGTCGTGCTTGTACTGGAACTCGGCGTTCACACCAGACGGGTCACGAGCGTACCGGGAGCCACGCGGCGCGTAGTTGGACACAAAGTCGGCAGCCTTGCCCAGCTTGTCACCCTTGTTAAAGGGAGCATAGGGGACGTTGAGGAACTGCTCCGGCAGGACCGTAGGGCCCCAGCCGTTGGCGTTCACGTCCACGCGCGGAGTCTCGTACGAGGCCATTGTGCGAATGATACAGAGGGGATCGTCAGCCACCAGTCAAAACACACAAGACTGCTGCCACGTGAGAATGTGTAGGATCTGTATTTTGTGTAATCACACGATATTGTGTTTTGAACATGGAGTTCTGTTCGAATTAAGTACGAAGTCTAGTTGAAGTGGACTTCTACAACGACAAACTCTTACTCGACGGCTTGGACTTCTTCAGGGGTGAGCGCCGTCGCCACTGGTCTGCTACTGTAGTCGACGTCTTGTAGATACCATTCGACTCTGGCAGCGATTTTATCGTGAGCCCATTGTAGTTGCGGCGTATCCTTTTCGCTCGGGTAGTACATGTCGGCGCAATGAGCTGTGCCTTCGATGAACACAGCTTCAGCCGAGTACGAATGCAACTTGGTCGAGTTCTGTACTGCCAGTGCATGCCACGGGTCAATAGTTCCGCTCGGAAAAGTCACTCTCTCCACTTCAATACCGAGCGAGCCATAGTCGCGGTTAGCACCAGCAACATCCGGAGCCACGTCCATTTGGTACACGCGCTTACAGATCTCCGTACCGACATTCGCTTCCGTGACAGCACGAAGCGCATGGAACGGAGACCGCACACTCGTCGTCGTCTGGAAATAGCCAAATTCATTGCATGTCTGATAAACCCACTGTCGAGCGCTGCTCTTACCGTCGAATTGATCACGACTCAAGACCTCCACAGTGCCGTTAGCAGCGCCCTCAAACTTGGAGTCAAGACAGTCACCAACACGCGTCTTATTAATGAATGAAGCCAGCTTTTCCACTGCATCGCCGGGCTCTGCGAAGTGCTTGCAGACCTCACTCAACGTCATGACTCCTTCGTGGATAGCATTGTACTGTGCGATATCCTGGAATGCTCCCATTATCGACGTCTCGAAAACCGAGTCGTCGAACTCATTAGTCATCGGGTAACACGGCTTGAACAGCTCGTCTACTTTATTGCGACCTTGTTTCCCACTATCCATGAGTTCTCCGAGCTCTGTAATGGCTTTTTCCACTTCATGGTAGCATTCTCCGCCTCCAAAATACCTCAACCCATCCCCAACGACCTCCATGTACTCAAAGAAATCCGTTTTAGCATGTACTGGTGCCGAACTCGCTACTGTTCCAGCGAATAATGCAGGGTACTTCAGCTTCACCCACGCCGCCAGATTGCCTGGATAACTCCCTCCGAACGCGACCCATTTCTCTTCTGTGAGACCATATTTGTCCGTCACAAACGAGTGGAAATGCGCCAAATCGGCCAAGGCCTGTTCGCTGGAGAGATACGCAAGATTGGGCAGACTCATGTCCTCTGTAGGGAACGATTTGCCGTAGAATCGGTGTTCCAGAGCCAATAGCAGCGCTCGGTGCTGCTCCGCCAGGTAGTAAATGAAGGTGCGGTTGGTGATTGCCTTGGGGCCTAGTGGTCCCTCCCCTCCGATGTAGAGGAACACGGGGAAGCCATGACCGCCCCAAAATTCCTCGTTCACTTGGTATCTTTGCTTCCACGTTGAGCGTTTGGACACGGGGGCGAAATGGTCCAAGATAGCGTTGGTAAAATAGTCCTCCTGGATAGGGAACGCCACGGGATCGTCCTCGGACTGATGCACATCGAACTGCACAAAATATTCGTGACCACGGAAGTCCTGAAGACGCTGAAGATTGTGCGCTCGTTCCTCTGAGGACTCGGCGTGAATAGGCGACAGACAGACGAGCGCAACGACGCACAGTGCGAACAAGGCTCGCAGCAACGTCATGGCTTTCGATAGAGTACTTCGAGGTGCTGATAAGATGTAAGGGGGAATGATACATCGACCTTGCTATGATTAGCAATCAAATTTGAGAGGATGTAGCCATCTCTGCTTCAACTTGCCTGTTGACAATATACGTATGTAATGTTTTTTTTGGTCAGTTTGGAATGGACCTTGGAGGACATGCGACCTAATCTTGGCATATGCGGAGCGACGGCACGGTCAGAATTCTGACGTGGAGGCAGCAAACCGAGACACAATGCACAAACGGTCGAGATCTCCTAGCTCTTATCGCGTTGCATCAGATAGTCGGAAGACCTCGGTGTCTACTCATGCCTCATCAAATGTGCTCGGTCGGCAGCGATCCTCGAAAGTCTTGCAGAAATACGCGTCTACGCGAAAGTTCGGGCGTCGACATGAGCTGCAGCGAGAAGGTGAACGCATTCGTAACACGTCGATCGTTGCATACTCCAAAAGGAATCCAGATGAAGAAGATACGGTTATGGCAGCTCAGGTAAGGTGAAGCCAGGCTTCTAATGCGTACTCTAACCATACTCTAACTGTATTTTCTGTAGTGGCGGATCATGGAGGCTCTGGCACAGGAACACTCGATCTTTAGACGACTGGCACAATTCGTCAGCCGTACGCTAGGGACTGCTACTTGCCAAGACCCAACAGTGATACTGAACCACGTACTGCTAGGCAGTCGTGAGAATGCAGAAGATAGCAGACTCCTTCACATGTTAGGGATCACACACATCTGTAACTGCGCCACGCAGGTTGGAAACAGCTTCGAAGGCGAGTTCATCTACCTCAAGCTGAGCCTACACGATACCCAGGACGAAGAGCTGATTCCTCACTTTCAAACTGTCACCAAATTCATCAAACGAGTCGAGCGACTGCGAGGACGCGTGCTCATTCACTGTATTTCCGGTTAGTGTTGGATCACGTGTTTTATACTCTAACCGGTCGCTTACGGTTGATGTCTTTGTAGGGGTTTCCCGATCACCGGCTCTTCTGATTGCCTATTTAATGATCGACAAGAAGATCCCGCTGCTAGAAGCTTACAACATGGTCAAGCGTAAGCGCCATATAGTGCAACCAAACCAGGCTTTTCGACTGCAACTGGCCAAATACGAACTCATGCTCTTCGGTGCATCTTCAGTTGCAACAACTCCCGATAAAGACTGGAATTTTTACGCTTGGAACGAAGTCAAGAACCAACGGGAACTTCGGCGAAAAGGAGGCTAAAATGTTGTAGATACCATCTCAAACCCGTAGAAATAATTCGTTCGGGTCCCCAACAAACACCAATTGTCGATAAGCACCGGTGATCCAAACAACGGGCCTAGATCATTACTCTCAGCACTGTTTGCATCACTGAGAGCTTCTCCAGAAGAGTCACTAGTCTGGTAAATAATGGACCCTGTTCGCTCGTTGCAAAAGCACAGCTGACCAGTAGTGGTGGTCACACAGCAGACCAAGTCGCTGTCTTGATTAGTTGCATCCTCTGCAATAAGTCGAACAACCGTCGGGGATGCGAACACTGCACCGTTCAGGTTGGTGGCCCAGACGAGTTCTCCGGTACGGGAGTTAACCTTGCGCAGCATCCCATCGTGAGAACCAAACACCACTGAACCGGGTTGATAGACACAAGGCGAGCTGAAAATCGGCTTATCTGTTGCAAGTTGCCATTGAATATCCCCAGTCGTCATATTGACTCCGTAAAGCTTCCCATCTGCACACCCGGCAAGCAAAATATTGGACTCATAGTCGGTGTTTAACCCTGCAAACACTGGGAGAGGAAGTTGCAGTCTCCAATTTTCCTTGATGCTCTTAAAACTATCATCAGAAGTTGACATTATAGCCATGACATTTCCGTTCGTAGACGCGACAAAGATCTGCTTCGGCCAATTGCAATAGAGTGGAGTCGAGAAAATACTGCCCCTAACGTCGAGTATCCACTGTAATTGACCCGTAACGACATCCAGACCGTACAAATTGTTATCGTATGCACCAAAAGCAACCAATTCGTGCTCTTCTATCACTAGGGCTGAAGCTTTGATCGTTCCCTTGGCTTGAAAAGTCCACCGAGTTCTACCAGACTGCAAGTCCAGAGCGAATAAAGTTCCTCTATACGTCCCCACGTATACGATCTCGTGCTTGACATTTAGAGCTGCGCACGCTTCAATGCGATCATCAAGTGTAACTCGCCAGATTTCTCGTCCAGCTGCCAACACATCAACGCAAACAAGTTGACCCGAATGTGATCCAACAATCGCCCACGTAGAGAGTACACCATTGTGGTCACGACGTTGTACTACGAGTGGAGACGCATCAATACATTTGCTTAAATCCACACGCCAAGCACATCTCAACTCCCACGATAAGCTCCTTGATTGCGAGAAGTAGCACGCTGGCAGGTAAATGCTGTTGACGCCCATAGACGATTGGTTGTAGCGAGATATAAAGTTCAACCTACCTTGTTGATGAGTATGGTGAGTTCTCTTCCGGCATTTGATATCATCACTTGGCTCTTCAGTAGTACGAGATCTTGGCTTCATTGAGCGCTGCAGTATTTCTGTCGTGGGTTTTTGAGGGTGGTGCTTCTTAGGTTGGGCGTTTACGGCAGACAGAATTTCATCAATAGTCATTTCGAGCTGAATAACATGATAGCAAATTCATGGTAAGAAACACAGTAACCGTACAATTAGCGCAAGCACAATAAATTAGAGTACACTTACCAAGTCTTGCGCAGCTATGGACAACGTCCCAAACACTTGGCGGAGTTCATGCAGAAACAATGTCGCCAGTAGTGAATTCCCACCCATGTCTGCAAATGTCCGAGCCCGAATGTCTTTAAAGATGCACGTTGACAAGGAGACTCCAAGGATCTCCTCCAACGACTGGGCAACGACAACTTCTGTTGAGCGATCACCCTTACTTGATATTGCCAGCGAGTGAGCATTATCATTCTTGTCATAATCCAAAAATTTCTCAAGAGATCGACGGTCAATTTTTCCATGCGCAAGTCGTGGCACTGACTTTGAAGGCAACAGCAAGACGTCGAAAGGTGCGTGGAACGCTCCGAAGCGCTCAGATATCCAAACATTTAGAGTTTTCGTCTGCGGATGTCGGGTTACCGTGTTATTTGCGTCGTCACAGATAATAAAAGCCACGATATGCTGCTGAATCAACGCGTACTTGCTCACTTCCTTTGTACTCGTAATCGCAACAACCTGATGATCTTCACCAAAATGTGTATCTTTCTCAATTTCTTTCCGTGCTGCAGCCACTGCACGCTCCACCGCCTCCAAGTACACTCGCTGACCGTGAATCTTTACAGCATTGTCCTTACGACCACAGTAATATAGATGGCCTTGGATCACACAGCAAATATCTCCAGTGCAAAACCATCGCCTTGCTGGCTCAGTATCGACTTCATGGCCCAGTAATTTATCCGAGTTTACAAAAGCGTCTTCATCACCAACGTATCCAAACGTAAGAAGCGACCCGGAGACGTATAGAATTCCTCTTGTTGGCTCCTCTGTGTACTCACTACAGGCAGTTGATCTCGTGGGCCAAACTACTGTTGAGTCATGGGCACTGTTATCGCGATCATGCGGTAGGAGTAAGAGAGCTGTATCACTACCAACCACCCCGTATCGGTCGAGATTAGCGATAGGGATGCCGTATTCCTGCCATAGCGCTATCTGAGCAGAAGAGAAAGGTGCTTTTAGCTCCATACAGGTAACATCACCGCTCAACTCTGTACTACCTGCACAATATAGCGAAAATAATTCAGGTTTGAAGTAAAACAACAAGATGAGAGCTTCTATCGTACCGTAGAGATTCAGTATCGTCACACCTGGCAAATTAGCTGTAAGTTGCTGTACAACGTGAAGACGCAATGACTCCCCACTGCTTAGCACATAGCGAAGTCCACTTAACGCAGATTTTCGATCCTTCTCTGTTGTCTGTAGCAGTAGCACCTCCAAAACGCTCGGCACTGCTGTGAATCGAGACACATTCTCACTGCGAATAACCTCCAGAAACCGCGCACTGTTGTCAAGCACGACACTTCTCATGCTACGCTGAACAGACTCAGGAGGCTGAAAGTGAACCAGTGACACGCGTTTCAAGAACGCACCTAGAATCTCCCACACCGAGTCTACAAACGACAACTTTGTAGCTCTCAGAACGCGTTCACTCTTGATAAACGGATACGCCGTCCACATCCACTCCAACCTTGTCCAAGCACCGGTTCTCGTCCCCATGACACCTCGAGGCTCTCCAGTCGTTCCAGACGTGAAAAGCACGTACAAGGGCGCTACAAAACTCTCCTCTTCTCTCAGTCTCCGACCCATACACTCAACCTCCGAATTTTTAAGGAAGCTATCCGGTAAATTCACCACTTGCACAGGTCTAAACGAACTTGACGTCATCTTAATTGCCCTCGCTTTCATTTCTTTTCCAAAGTAATTGGCCAATGGACTCTCCGCCGTCGTTACCAGGCGTCGAATGCCTGCACTTTGAAGCATCGAGAGCTGTCGAGACAGAGGCAACTCCATATCAATTGGCACATAGCTCCACGCTCTCCCCTCCGCAACCAGCAACATCGTCATCGTCTCTTCAATCGAGAACGGGGTCAAGTTGATCCCTATTATCAGCCACTCATCACCACCCAACGCCATTCTCAGCTCCTTTTGCCACTGAGACAGCTCCACATACGTCACTTCCTTCCTCTCAGTACCGTCACTCTTCACCAGCGCCACCTCCTCACTCTCTCCATGCGTCCTCCAGAACTCTTGGATACATTGACACAAGGCCATCGAATCTCGAAATCTCAATCGTACTTAGCAAAACTCTTACAAACCTCAAGTTCGCACACGTCACAGATACATAAAACAGCCGGTTTGAGTAGCTACAACAAGAGCCTCCCAGTACCAGATCCGACGACATCATGGACGACGAGCAGCTCCCTTTAGTGAACCGCGACGCCAGCGACTCGCTGCAGCAGCAGCTGTCCAGCTATCACGAGCGCCAGCGCGCAAGACAGCAACGTCGCCAGCGCTCCAAGACCGTGGGGCGCGCCACTGTGGGCTTCTTAGCGGCATCGCTGCTCACTCTACTTCTAGTGGCGCTCTCATGGCCAGCGCAGCGTAATGAGCGCGCGCTGGAGCTTCGTACGCTGCTGGACGCATACCAACACGCTAAAAATTTCTCGGGAGTCGTGCGATTGAGTCACAATGGCGAGAAGAAGCTGCAACAGGCCATGGGAACTGCCAATGTCCCTTTCAAACAGCCCATGGAGGAGCACAGCGTGTTCCCCATGGGGGCAAACGTCCAGCTGCTTGTGGCTGTAGCCATGTATCAATTACAGGAGAAGGGACTTGTAGAGCTGCATAAGCCAGTAGACGAGTACTGGACGGTGACGGACTGGCGAGCGTTCGGGAAGAACCAGACGTGCTTTAAACTCACAGAAAGCGACGAGTGCGAGCACGTGACGTTCCAGCATTTGCTGTATATGGGGTCCGGTATTCAGAGCAGTGATGAGAAGAGAATGCAGTCCTTGGGACAGCAAGTAGGGGCGTTTATTGACGCTCCGCTGGCCTTTAAACCGGGCACGAGTTACCAGTACACCGAGGAGAACTACGTGTTGTTGGCTTACATGGTGGAGAGACTGAGTGGCTTAGCTTTTGGAGAATATCTGGAGAAACATATCTTCCAAGTGCTTGGCCTCAAATTGACAACGTACGATCCGTATGACGGTGCACTTCGAGTTCGACGCGGACTGGTGGACCAGTACGTGCAGTTCTACGCCCACCGAGCGCCTAATTCCAGCGAAGACAGCCACAGTGATAGCTCCAGTGGGCCGCAAATTGGTCGTGAGAAGCATTTGCATCATATGAGCACGGGATCATGCGCGATTTATCAGGAATTTGACAATAGCCTCCATGGTTTGCAGTCCACGGGCAAGGATATGCACAAGATCTACACGGATCTCTTCCACGGCCATGGCTACCACTCCAAGCTGTTGAAAGCCGAGTCCATTGCGCAGATTGTGGGCACTCGGAACCCCTCGTACCCTGCTTTTGCGCAGGGTATCGGCGTCGATTTTGAGGAGATTCCAGGAGCTAAAACTCCCGACTGGCCTGCGAAGATCGCGTTCTGTGGCAGTACTGCGTGCTCGATGACTTGTATGGCCATGCAGATGCCTGCTGCCAACATGTCTATCATCGCTAGTGCTTTCACAAACGACGTACGATTGTATTTCCCCAGCGTCGACACATTCCACGCCTACAAACCTCGTGACTTTATGGACAAACGCGACTCGAGCATTGACGCATTCGAGAAGAACGACGGAGAAGTCAACACGTTGGCCTGGAGTTTACTGCAGGTTTTCCTCCGATTCTACACAGCCGATGACTAAGTCAAGAACTAACAGCCAGGAGAAATGGTACTGTATGCCAGTTTTTTTTTATTTCTACACGAGTAAATTCTACGTGTGCACTTTTTGTCCAGCTGTGGTGGTTACGTGAAGCTGAGTAGTTCGCGAATGGTTATTTCGTCCTCTCGAGCCACGAATCGTCCTTTAACTCGTAGTCGTGTATCTGCAAAGCTCTTACGGACGTCGTATTTAACCTCTCTGATCCACACGCGCTCTTGTCGTTTTTTAAGGTATCTCTGGACGCGTTTCTTACGAGATTCAGGCGAGTAGCTGCCAACCCAACCTTTTTTTCGTGGACGATCTGTATCAGGTAAAGCTCGTTTACCTAAGCAACTTTCAGGTTCAGGAGATAAGGGAGATCTACCGATCTGTTCCACTTCTGCGGTGTATTTTTCGGATTCTGGTTCCCCAAATTCGATATCGTTGTCTGTTGACAGTTTAATGACAAAACCCACGTCTTTCTCGCTGGTTAAAGCACGATGAAGACCGCCAGATAAGAAGAGATCCCCGTTACGGTTTAACTGACGGAGATAAATCTTCATCCGTAAACTCCATATTTGTTTAGGCCATGGGAGTTCACTGGGAACTTTAAACGTAGCGGGGACCTTATAGTATCCGTATTCTCCAGCTAGTGTCGTATTGTCGGGCATTTCCCGCTCTTTCCATTGTTCTTCTTTGTTGTTCCAAATGAATCGAGACGACCAACACATGAGTTTCCCGAGTCTTAAACCGTAAAGTTCCTCTGGCCATGGCTGTTTTGGAGGCACCACGAAGTCCTCAGGTAGAACCTCGTGAGGATATTGAGTCGCGTATATCTTCAGTAACGGAGCGACATGTTCCTGCCACGGCGTGTCTGCTAGTTTGTATCTGAAGCCGAAAGTCTCTAACCGATCTGCATTTAGGCCAACTTCAGCGAAATAGAGTCCGCTGGACTCTATTTCAGCTGTAACAATCCCTAACTGTAACCCGAAGGTTTGCTTTGGCCAAGGGGATTCAGAAGGAACCACGTAATTCTCCGGGACTGAACAGTGTCCGAACACCATAGCAAACGTGTGGAGCGCAGGGAAAATCGTCGTTTTCCAGTGCTCATTCTTACCAGCACAGGCCTCGTTAGAGTGGAAATTAGAGATAGCAATATGGCCACCGTAATGCTGTCCAACCTGGACACACGTAAGGATATGTCGAAGCTCTCGACCCCACGTCTTGTAGGGCCACGGAGAACGACAAGGAACCACGAACTTATCTCGAAGAATCTTGTTGCCGTTCTCGTACTGATACACATCGTTAGCCAGTACCACTTGATTTCTCCAGTCACGCTCTATCGACTCTAATCGACTCAAATTCCACTGCACTATAACACCGAGATTAACTCCCCATCCGTATTCAGGCCACGGATCCTTCGCTGGTATAGTGAATCCCCACTCAAAACCCCATGGAATCGTGTCTTGAGGATGAAGATTCGCGAACGCAGCGATTAGAGGAGCGACCTTCTTCTCCCATGCCACATTAGAGAGCGTTAGTGTAAAATCCAGTTTACTCAATCGGTTAGCGCATCGTCCAACATAAGAGAAGAAATTCCCTGTCGTCTTCATCTTGTCAATAATCTGTCCCAACTGTAAACTCCACACATTTTTAGGCCACGAGATATTCGCTGGAACAACGAAATGAGGCTTGACATCGCAGTGTCTGAACCTCTTAGAGTACGTCTTAAGGGCTGTAAAAATCGATCCCCAGGCTTCGTCTCGACGTTGATGCAGCAGGTTCTTCAGTCTAGCGACAGAAGTTTTAGCTAGAGCCACATGGCCATCGTAACATTCGCCAGAGTGGAGACGCTGTAACATCCGCGATAGGTCCATCCCCCACGTCTTCGAAGGCCAAGGAGACTGCGACGGGATCACAAATTTCTCTCCAACGCTGCAGTTACCATGTTCATGCTGGTAAACTTCGACAGCTCGTAACACTTGAACTCTCCACTTGTTTTCGATGTCTATCATGTGTTGAGAATTCCATCCAACGAGCTTTCCTAGCTTCACTCCCCACATTGTTTCTTGCCATGGAGCTTGAGAAGGAACCACGAAGTTGTCAGGAACGATAGTACACGGATGAACCATCGCAAAAGTCTCTAACAACGGAGCACCGTATTGTTCCCAAGGAGTATCCATCAACTTGAAGGAAAATCCAAGCACATCTAAGCGATCAGCGTCCTGTCCTACTTGTTTAAAGTATGTGCCATTCTTCAGATAGTCTGCGATTCCAGCTCCAAGTTTTAAACCCCACGTCTGTTTGGGCCACGGATCTTCGGAAGGAACCGTGAATTGGGGTCCAAGTCGACAGTCTCCAAACACTTGCACAAACGTGACGAGAGCTGGAAAAATCCTGCTCTTCCACTGATGATTCCTGTTGTCAAACACTACAGATAACGTCTCCGGAGTTGCATTCCGCTGCCTCAAATCACTCATCACTGCAGCCATACGATCTGGATTCTGTGCCGCAATCCTGCCCAATTTCAAACCCCACATCTTTCTGGGCCATGGCTGTTTGTGTGGAATCACAAAATCTACTGGAACTGCCGTTTGATTCGGATAAATTGTCGAGAAAATTACCAAAAGCGGCACAACTTGTCGTTCCCAAGTCGTGACGGAAAGACAAACCTCGAAGCCTAAACCGTCCAGAACGTTCGCATCTCGTACAATTTGAACGAAATACTGCTCTCTCCGCTGCGAATCTCTTAAAAACATGCCGAGTTGCAGTCCCCAAGTCTGTTTGGGCCACGGTTGTTTAGTTGGAACGACGAAATCGGATGTCATGGGTTCATCGTTCCGAAATTCGTCCGCGAAAGTTACCAACGCCGGTAAAATACGGTCTTGCCACTCGACATCCCTCGGGTCCCATAGGAAGCCCAATTTCTCCAGTTCATCGCTATCGCTAGTAGCTTGATCTACGTAACTTTTTCCAGCTCGAACTCGCTTGACAATCGGTCCTAGATTCAGTCCCCAGGCATCTTTCGGCCACGGTTCCCACTCCGGAACGACGAAATCGCTCTTAACATTGCAGTGCCCGTTTTCATGATGGAAGACTCGCAATGCCGGTAGAACTTGATGCCTCCAGGACCGATCTGCCGCATTCGTCGCTTTCCACGTGAATCCTAACTTCTGAAATTCCTGTTGAGAATTTGCCACTTGGGAACTGTAAAGTCTCTTGGTGTCGTTACTTCGACTGATAACTTGACCCAAGTGCAGTCCACCCGCTGCTTTAGGCCACAGTGGACTTGACCGAGGCACCACGAACTCTTCGGGCACTTCGGTGTGGCCGAATAGCGAGTGGAAAGTACGCAAAGCTGGCATGAAGACCTTGCACCATTTTTCCTGACGATGATCCACCACGTCCACTGTTACGCCATCCAAGACGTCACCGAACGAAGCTTCCGAGCGACGTGCAGTCGCCATGGTGCAAGGCGTACACTGACCATCCACTTATCCACCGATCCAAAATCTCTATTGCGCAGAGCAGCATATGACTGGTTCTGGTTCAAAGGTTAGGTCAGAGCAGCTTTTCTGTCCACGCATTTGGATCCAGGCTGGATCATCCAGCAGAGGATCGTCGGTCGTTTATATCGCCGATGAAGAGATTGCAGTGTGGCTTGATACGTAGCAGCATCGAAAAACAGGAACGCGATAAACCTACTTCTACAACAACAGTAACGTATTCATGATCATAACGTTATTCATATACTACAGTAGTATTAAAGTTGGCAGGATCAGTGTGTGCTTCTGAGATCCCTACCAGTCCCTACCACTACGCCGTAGGTTTCCGTTTCCGATTCTTTGTCGACAATGGTTTGTGCTCATGGAGGTATGTCAACTACGAGCACGGTATCACGCAATAGAGACTGATCACCAAATATCATCAAGTCTTTGTCATCGTTTGCTTTGGTAGCTAATTTGGGCTGCGTTTACTACTCTCCTGTACTTGTAACATCGACATTAAGCATGAGCTCTGCGACCAACAAAAACACACTGGGGTTGATTATTTCATTCGTTTAATTTTAAGTTCTCACGTTTTAGGGCTTACGATGTAAGTAGTACAATAGTGGTGGCTGGGTTCCCCAGTGTGAAATGCTGCTTGATTTCTCTCCCGACGTGATCGTGGCCAGTCATTGGTCGACTGCTATAGTCGCTGAAAATTGCAGGATGTACACATACCGGGGCTTATGGAGGCGGCCAACGAGATCAACCATTTTGAACACTTACAGATTCCAGATTTCACGCGGTGTTACGGATCTTCACTCAGTTTTTTATGCCAATACTAGCAATGTAGAGCGAGTTTAATTGTATAACACCAGCTCTACCGGTGGCGTAACGAGGAATTAACCGGTGGAGTTCCATCGTCTAGCATCCACGATCGATGTTGCATTGCAAATAAAAACATTTGCTGGTCAGTGCTCATTGAGCACCGTCCACCCGAAATTGGTGCACTCATGTGTTGTCTGTGACGAAGTTATCGAAGATAATTGTCTCCACTCACAGCCTCATATATCCGCAATGACATCCAAAACATCAGTCTGACAAACGCCGCTGTCGAAGTTTAATTCAGTACATTCGACGGTGTGTCTGATTATGTTTTTGCCTTTTCTGTGCAACATTTGTGATGGAAAACCTCGTTCTAAAACGAGGTTATTTAGATAGTACTCGCATGATGATGCTCATCAATTGTGTCAATCGAGCTCCTTCGTGTCTCTCAGTGCGCAACGTTCCTTGGAGGCGAACAAACTTCATGAAGACCAACGCGACAACAACCACCACGACCTCCATGTTTGGATCCCTGCTAACTACGCCTTCAGGCAGTGATATACCTGGTTCCTCCGACGACACGCAGTCGACACGATCAGAGCCCGAACCTCCCAACCCCCCTGCCAAGAAGAGATCGCGACGGACAGCGAGGAAGCGCGAGCCGAAGCCGAAGAAGCCAAAGATCCGCACATACATCCGCCGGAGGGTGAGTACTACTGCAAGTACAGCAGTCAATTGGATCGTATACTGATTGATTGTTGCTACAGACGGAGATCGAGGAGCTGACAGACGAGATGAAGAAACTAAAGAAGCAGATGGCGTACTACGAATACAGGAACGGGGTACTCAAGCAGCGCGAAGCGTTGATTGAAAAGGAGATGATGAACAAGACGATGCGCAACGCGCTTCATGCCCAAAGGTTATCGTTCGCCACCACCGTATCCATGGTCACGCAGTTCTTCGTACGCTTCGAACTGTTCAATTTTCTTGTCGTTTTGTGTTCAAATTCTAATCTGTTTTGTGAATTTCCAGCGCGAATCTGCTACGGAGCCATTTGATCTACCTGCAAGACTTAATAAAGATCCATTCCAGCGTGAAGCTGCTCTGTTACGAATGAAGAGCGATCGACTACAAGTCGCCCACCTCTTCATGCACCAGAGACAGCACTATCTATCGACGTCGGAGTTCTGCGACCGGAAGAAATTCGAGGCGACGAATGGAGATCTAGTGTCCATTCAGTTCGAGATCATGCCTTTACCAGGGGCACGCAGCGTCAAAAACATCGTCGATGCGCTCCAGTTTTTTGTCTACAATCTAGAGATCAGTATATCCGAAGCCGTGGGTGACGTCACTATCCGCGAAAATGACGACGCCAAGCCAGGAAGTGCTGTAGCGCAGCATCGCCTTGTAGCTACCGTGGCTGATGTGATTCAGACAGACACCAACAACGTGGCGTTCGCGGAATACCGTCCTGCTGGGCCTGGGGAGCAAGAGCTTGGACTCATGATCTGCGATACAGTTGATGAAGACGAGTTGTATCCGTATCGACCCGATACTCGCGTAAGGCAGGACATGACGCAGATCACTCAAATAGCGTGGCACCAGCAAGAAGTCGGAGATCCGATCATTGTCATGACCCGATGGTGGTGCTTGAGGATTCGAAAATCTGACATCTACGTGCCCCCATTTGTCGTGGATCGGATTCGAACTGGTGTCGAGAAAGTTGGTGCAGCCATGTTTGCGACGGCAAGACGAGCAGGAGGAATGGTCATATAGACAACGATCTGGGGCAAAAGCGTAACTGTATTCTACAGGATTTCCTTATAGCTTCATGATAACCAAACATATTTACTCCAGTATATATGTGGTATGGTATCTGCGGATTTTGAAGTCGGTTTTCGCACCTTGACGTTCTATATTATTTGGCATGTACAGTATGATTTAGCGTATGTGGATCTCAGTGTCATACGGACAAGAACACTGGCGGACAGCAGATCCTAAATGTGCGTGTTAAACGGATTTGATTGTGTTCGACTATTCTATGCCGCGCGATACAAGTTCACAATCGCAGAGCTTCAGAACGCAATACGCTGCCACGGAAGCAAGTTGATCTCATGATTGGAAGCCCTTCATCCTCGACTAATTCTAGTCCAATCGACTCCTCCAGCAGCAACGCTTCTAGAGCCTCGGACGGAACTCGGACGACTGCTTCTAACAAAGCTCGACGGACAGTGAAGAAGAGGGTATCAGTTCGCAAACCTAAGAAGCCCAAAATCCGGACATATACTCGACGACGGGTAAGCGTAGATTCATCTATGACATCGAATATCCCCCCCCCCCACACACACACACACACAATCATTTGTTCTAATTCTTAGCACTGTGCAGACAGAGATCGAGGACCTGAGAGATGAAATGAAGCGTTTGAAGAAGCAAATGGCTCACTTTGAGTCCAGAAACAAGATACTCAGGCAACGGGAGGCGTTGGCCGAGAAAGAAGTGATGAATAAACTAATGCGCGATACGCTCCACGCTCAACGATTATCATTCGCCAGCACAGCATCCATGCTCACTCAATTTTACGTACGTTCACTTTTTTTTATTTTTTTACTTAATAAATATCCAGAGAACAAAACTTAACTTTTTTTTTACTTACAGCGCGATAACGTTACCGAGCCATTCGATCTCCCTGCTCGACTTGGCCGAGATCCAATTCAACGTGAAGCAGCTTTACTTCGCATGAAGAAAGATCGACTGGAAGTTGCGCAGAACTTCATGCTTCAGCGAGAACACTACAATGCGACGTCGGAATTCTGCGATCGAAAGAGATTCGAAGCTACAACTGGCGACTTCGTGTCACTACGCTTCGAAATCACTCCGTTACCCGGAGCTCGCAGCATTAAAAGGATCATTGAGGCTCTTCAGGACTTCGTTTACAATCTGGAAATTAGTATTTCTGAAGCCATAGGCGACATCGCAGTACGCGAGAATGACGACGCCATACCAGGCAGCCCCGTAGCGCAGCATCGCATTGTGGCTACGGTTGCAAATCTAGTACAAACTGATACTAACAGCGTCGCGTTTGCGGAGTACCGACCGCCTGGAAATGGAGAACGCGAGTTTGGCTTGATGATCGGCGATGCAGTGGATGAAGACGAACTGTTCCCGTATCGTCCAGAGACCAGAATTCGGCAGGATATGACTGTTATCACTCAAGTGGCGTGGCATGAATCACAGTATCAAGAGCCCGTAATCGTCATGACTCGTTGGTGGTGTCTTCGACTCCGGAGATCACATATCTACATGCCACCGAAGGTAGTGGATCGGATTTGTGCTGGTGTAGATAAAGTCTCACAGGCCATGCTCTTGACTGCTCGACGTGCTAGCGGCTTATCGTAATAACACTCACAACATAACAACAGTAAACAAAGAACCGATTTATAGACCCGTCAATTTGGCAATTGATTATTACGAAGTTGCTCGAGCTTGGGCCTTTAGTTCATCCAAAAAGTTGCTCGGTGTAGAGGATATGGCAGTCTGCTGAGGTTGTGTAGCGTCGATATCTTCAGAGTTGACAGCAAGCTTTGGAGCTGAAGCATTTTTAAGCTCATCCAAGAAGTTCATGGGCTTCTTAGGTGCAGCATCAGAACTTGCATCCCCACCCGCTTTTCGCTTCAGCTCGTCCAGAAAGTTCACAGGTTTCCTGGTTCCTATGAAAGTGTTGCTTTGTTCACTATCACTCGATATCGCAACAGTCTCTGGATTCGACGGTTTGCGTTGAAAACGGTTCTGCAGTTCACCAAGGAAGTTGACTTTACCACCACCGAATGGTGACGGCGGAGGAGCCAAGCCTTGGAATTTTGGTGAGTCACCCGACTCCTCTGCTTTTCGAGCCTCAACCAGTTTCAGAAGTGCCTTGGATTTAGGATTTACAACCACTGGAGTCTTCACCACCTTGGAATTAGCCTCCTTTGTAGTCTTTGGTGGCAAGGATCGAGGCCCGCGTGGAGTTCTGACGACAGGTTCATCATTACTCTCACAGCTTTCAGGCCCCACTGACTCAGAACCACCAGGCTTTTTGAATGGAGACTGAAAGCTACCCTCCTTTCCATTTATCACTCGTTTGGGGCTACAGAAATCATTCTCGAGAAACTGCAGTACTCCGACAGCCACTTGAAGAGACTTGACTCGCTTAAACCCGCGTGTAGGAGCTACCTCTGAGGGTGAATCCGATACTGCGTTAGAGTCCGTATTAATCTTCGAAGGCTTGTCTTCTAGCCCCATTAACCGCGTAGCCTCTAACTCGGTAACGGTCATAGGGGACACTTCTACCATGGACACATTGGCTGTTGGTTCTGCCGCTGCACCGGTCTCTTCGACTGCAACTTCGTTGATATCGAGACTGCGTTTCGCGATGGCATTGTCCAGTTCCTTTTTTCTCGCTTCCGCTTCTTCCTCGACAGATAATTTCTTAAAAGCAGCTCGTTCCCGTGGCTGAATGTCAATATCTTCTGGAAAAGGTCCACGAATACGAGTTGCATTGCGAATTTCTGGATCTAATGCTCGAATTTGCGCTACTTCCGCTTGGTATTGCTCGAACGATGGTGTCATTGCAGCCCACGCGCGTTCAGCATGCGCTAACTCGCCTCTAACTGTATCTCTATCTTTACAGAGCGCTAAATGCTGCTGCTTTGCCTCCTCCCGTAATGCGATTAGAGTAGATTTTCCAAATGAACGCTGTAAATCTTCATTCCGTGCATCCTCAGCAACCGCAACGTACTCAGCTTTAGCCTGTGGAATGAGCTCATCGTCCAGTTTCTTTAATCGCATACGCTTTGATTCAATTCTAGCACGTTGACGCTCAAATTTGTCCAATCTTGTATGAATTTCAGCATCTGTTGGATAACAAAAAATCGGATTAAGTTGTTGCTTCGCTGTAAGTTCTGGTAACGGGACATCTCGTCGTGAACGTTTAACCGGATCCCAACCCGCTTTAATTGTTTCGTGTTGCTGCTGAGCTGCGAGTTGACGCACATGATCAATAAAACTCGTTCGCCATGTGTTTTTCCTACCATCTTTGTCAAAAGCGAAAGTATCTGGTAGAACGCGCGCCAACGCTCGAAGCTCATTGATGTCGTAATTTATAAAGTCCATAAAGAACGGGGCACTCTCAATAGCCAGGAAATTCGCTCGAGCAATGTCGTCTTGGTGCGTGACCAACCAGTGTAAAAAACGGTTTGTTTTCAGGTACGCAGTGAGGTCGTATGTGAGCAATACGCCACCTTCTTGAGCTCGAGCTATCAACGTTTCGACTGAGAGATCAGCGATGTCAATGGGGATGTAAGTCCGCATTAGCGCGAGACTTTCGTCGTTCTTATCGCGTTGTTTCCTCTGCCATTCTGCTTCCTTTTTCCTCATTTCATCTGCGAATTCTTTGGCTTGTTCACGTCTAGTTTTCCAAATTTCGACATCACGCATGGTTCGTTCTAGTTCAGCTTCAGTGTGTTTTAAATCATGTGCACGAGACGCAGTGATCTTTGCCGCAAGTTGAGTAGCTTGAGAGCATAAGAAGGATAGTTTCTCGCTTCCTTGAGTGCATTCAGGGATAGTCTGCAGGGTATAGAGTAAGGAACGCTTGGCTTCTTGAGTCTGCTCTGAAATGACAAAAGACGGGTGCAAATCTTCAGCAGCGACTGAAGCACCGAAGCGGTCAGTCTCAGAGCCAAGCCACTCCAGAAGCGTTTGCAGCGCACTTTGCTCCGTTTTAAGCTGTTGCTGTACCGTTAAAACGCCTTCTTTGATGCCCTCCAGTCGCCTGGTAAGCGTTAATTCTTGTTCTGCAGACAAAATACTAGCACCAGAGTTTTGTTTGGCGCGTTGAAGCTCAGCCTCGACACGAGTAGCCATAAGGTTCTTCTTGGTTTGGATCATTTCGGTCTGATAACTTAAGGCTGTCGCCCTTAATTCAGCGACTTGTTGAGCCTGCTTTTCCAAGGCTTTCAGCTTCGCAGCTAGAAGGACGTTGGCTTTGTCTTCGTCAGCGCAACGTGCTGGTTGTGACAATTCCTGCATCTCAAATACCAGTCGATCGTACCGTTCTTCACAGGCTGCTAGGTGTCTGTCAGCTGCAAGGAAGGCATTGCCCTTTGAGCTCTCAACTTTCCAGAGTAAATCTTCTTCTGAAATTCCAAGAGAAGCCTTGAGTACGTTGACTTGTTCTTGTAGTTTTTCAAGCTTGTTATCACGTCGAATAAACGACGCTCGTGGACTGCAGACTGGAGATGAAATTGCGTTTCCTGGATCACTTAAACCATGAGTAGGAGAAGCAGGACCAATTGGAGCCACACTGGGTCGTCGACAGCCGATCGGTGACACGATGGGCGAAGAAGTACGACGAGAAACTTGGACGAGAACGGGCTCCTGACGTTGTTGTTGTTGCTGAAAAATCGTCGAGTACGTTCTGGTTTTCTGTGGGGATTGCTGGATTGGAGACATTGATGGTCTACGCCCGGAGTGTGGGGATATCATACTCGCTCGATTTGACCTTGTGATTTCGAGACTTCCAGTGAGCGAGGCTCTGCTATTCTGTCTGAGGTGAGGTGCAGAGTATTGATTTTGTTGGCGCTGGCCTAGTTGAGACCCTAGCGATGCGTTGGCTGTGCTTATTCTGCGTGTTTTTGGCGTGCTTACCGACGCTGACTGCGAAATTGCGGGTCTTTCGTACTTTGCTGTTACCCGAGTCGTCGCTTCTCGCTTGACAGCGCTACTTTTTGGAGACGGCTTCTTGTTAGTATTGAGTTTTCGTTGAGGAGCAACCGCAGCTCGACTTTCCATGGTTGACTGTAGTGAATAAGTCTTTGCGAACACCTGCTTCATCGTAGAAGTTGGTGAACGTCCTCCTGGAGGCACATACACAGTACTGCTTCGTCGCTCATCCGCAGTATGTTTCGGCCCTATGCCTTGTATTGAAGCTCTCTTTGATACATCTTTAGTTCTAGATTCTTGATTAACACCGGACGTTGTAGTAGATTTTGATGAAGTTGTAGCGGTACTTGTCTCGAGCTTATTGGACGACGCTGTAGGTACAGTAGTGTTGACCATTGTAGCTTTTCTCGTAGGGATTTTAAGCAGCCCGAACTTGCTATATATCTGCTTCTTGTAAGCGAGAAAATCTTGACCTTCCTCGTAAAGTCTTAAACACGCAGCTGCTGCGATGTTGTGCTTGGGACGAGCAGGTTGAGAAGCTGCGGAGTCAGACACTGAAGCTTGGAGTTTCTGCTGGTGGACACAAGGTCCTTCGCGCTGCATACTCTAGTCAACCAGGCCTGCTGTCTGCCGCAAATGCAGCATCTCCAAGTGACAAAACTACAAAATAAGATGCTATTCTTGC